TTCCATAAAACTGACATTATTTTCAATAACTTTTTCAATTTCAGTCCAGGTTTCACCACAATAATGTTTTTTACTTCCTTGTTCATTGTGACAGTTGAAACGCTGGAGAATAGTTTCTTTGAAAGATTTTATATATGCAATGGTGACCTTCCTATGATGAACTCAGCCATTAGTTACAATGAACTTTCACCAGCGTCTAGTCTGTTTAAATTTTCCACTTTTTGCGAATACTCCAAAGTTGTTTTTTCCTCTTATTCCCATAACCATTTGCATCAATACAAGCCACTAGTGTGAAATAAGCAATTATCCAAAGTAAATTTCCTGAAAAACAGAAATTTCAAATCAGTTACATATCACCCAAATAGTTCTATTATACACATCAAAATCATATCCGGATATGAGGGATTCTGGATATGAGGAATTCCGGATATGAGGAATTCCGGATATGAGGAATTACGGGTATGAGGAATTACGGGTATGAGGAATTCTACTGTATACAATTTAGTTTTATGGTTACGGTTCGCGTTGCATGTGTTGATAAAAAATTGAACAATATCTGTTCGTCATTATAAAATTAAAAAGAATATACACCACTAGCAACTAATAAAAAATTGAAAGAATATCTTTATGTCTAATAATAAAGAAGTATTTGAACCTTAATGACCCTTCTCAAAACTATAGGAAATATCAAAATATACCTTGTTTGCGGGGATATTTATATCTAGGAATGTGGCCCAGTGATCGCCATTTAACCTCCCATTTTTTTTTTAATATACAGGTTCTTTGAATATCTCATTTGAATATTTTTTTCGGGTAACATATGTTGAAATAACTTTTTTTTTATTGCTAATCCTATATCACCCACTAAAATTTCCAATCGTCCAAAATTTTCTGTTCAGTTGCTCATCGACGATCCAGCAGTTGAAATTGCCTACCGGTAGGCTATATCGCCTAGGTTGGGAAACACTTCTCTAGTTTATCCCAAGCCGAATCTAGACGCCACCCGACAAAATGTCCGCTCGGTTATTTAGCTGTTCTGTAATGAAATTATCCATTAACCTTCTCTGTCTCCTATCGGCATGGCTGATGTTCAACTCCACGAGAGCGTCTCTCAGCGACTTCTTGGTCTCACGTTTTCTACTGACCTGAGGTGGAACAGCTACATTGAATCAATATATATATATATGAATATATATATATATATATATATATATATATATATATATTGTAGTCAGCACACACACAGACAGGCATACACATATTTTGACATACTCATACGCTGATTGAAACACACATATAGCAGCGGAAATGTTTAAATCTCACCTAAGCTTTGCAAAACCCTACATGTATGAGAGTCCCAGATTGGTCACAAAAGCGTCCAAACACGGCTCGTGTTCCGGCTATTTTAGCGAGATTTATGAAACTCTTGCTTGCGTTTCGCCTCCAGGACGTGGACCACAATAATGACTCATCTATCCCCCATTTGTTACCGCCTGGTGGACATTTTCAAGTGCAGAACTTTCAGATAGAGATTTACAAGTTTTAATATTTTGGTGATTAGATATATTGTTTTGAAGTAGAATAAATATTATGTTTAGTATATGTTTGGACTCTTTTTATTCTTCTCTTAGACTTATCCGTAATTTCCTCTCACATAATCCGTTATACTGCTTTATCTACCGCAAGGAAATTTGGTTCTCTGTGTCACACGAGAAGAGTTTTCTCGTCTGAGTCTATCCTTCAAATCTACAAATCTACCATTCATCCTGGCATTGAATACTGTTGCCATATATGGTCTGGTGCCGCCGCTGTTCATCTCAAGGTCCTCGGCAAAATCCAGAGACGGATATGCAATGTGATTGGTCCTGGCCTGGCATCTCGTCTACAGTCACTTTCTCACAGATATGATGTGACTTCCCTCTATCATCTCTACAAATATTTACATTGCAATTGCTCTGACGAGCTGTTTTCACTGTTACCCCAACTGCGTAAATTTATGCGTGCTCTTAGGTTGGCATCTCGATCCCAGCCTTTCACTGTTAAAACTGCTAAATGTAACCACCTTTTCTATTCCACCAGCTTCTTTTATCGCACTTCCCGACAGTGGAACTCACTTCCCCTTAATTGCTTCCTTGATAGGTATAATTTTCACATATTCAAATATAATGTCAATCGACATCTTCTGATGTGTTGAGCTTGAAACCCCATCCTTCTGTTTATCCTTTCCTCAAACACTCCCGTTTACTCTTGCTCTCAATCTTTCGAACCCCTTGTGGGTTATTGGTACTTCCGCATTGCTTGGGGCGAAATGCTTCTTTTAAAAAAAGAAGTTTCTTGCACCCTATTCGGATCATCATGGCAGAGACCTATTGGTGTGATTTGGAACAGACGCTTCGAAAGTAGTAAAATGTTTTACCGGCATTCGGAAACAGAAAGATACCTATCTTGTTTTAAGATAACGCAAGACTTCTCACTTGACAAATTCAACCTCACCAAATCTGTTTCGACTTGAAGAGACACTGCTGTTTAATTCAATTTCTAATTTCCAGCATTGTTTGCTCGTTTTCCAGCAAGCTCACCTGATCAGGCACATTTTCTATTTCTTCACTAATTGCTCCGAGGAGCTGCTTTCGCTGGTTCCCAGACTCCATGAATTCAAGCGTCCTACGAGGCTGGCATGCTGCTCTCACCCTTTCACTGTATAAATTGTTAAATGTAGCCGTCTCTTCTACTCCAATAGCTTTATACCTCGTACCTCTCGCCTGTGGAACTCCCTTCCCTATTACTGTCCCTGCGAACTATAATCTCCAACTATTCAAATGTAATGTCAATCGACACCTCCAGTTACCTTGATCTACCCACTATCCTTCTCCTCATCCTTTCTTCTATCACTCCTATCTGCTCTTGCTCCAAATCTTCTGCAACCCCCCTGCATCCTAGTGGTTTCATGCCTTGCTCGGGGCGTAATGCTTAAAAAAAATCCAGAGAAGCAAACTGTGGCAATACAGTAGCTATACCAAAAAACCTTAATTACAGTTCAAGTATTTGCATTTTCCAGGGTAACATACGGTTTTGTAGTCATAATGCTTGATAAAACCATTCAGCAGACGGTCATGGAGTTAAGGATTGACGACACTTCATCTTGGCGTAATGGCTAACAAGCTTGTCTCGTTAGATTAATTACAACTGAGTAGTGAGTTTCATCCGAACTGAGTGCTCAGTTCTGGCTTGTGACATACCTAAGGTAATCTAAGTAAGTCGCTGCACACTTCAGCGATTGACAAGCTTGTCTCGAGAGTACAATTAAGAATGAATAGTAACGTCGATCCTCATTGGGTGTCCCATACTTTCGGCTTTGTGCTACGTTTAGAAAACCACCATTAAGCTAGGTACCAAAATGCTGTCCGGTACTTCGTAAACCGCTGTTATATCCCCTGCCGATTATAACTTTTTCTAGGACTTATTTGCATATATGCGATAGCAGAATACTAAATAGTGCACACATTAAATTAGGTACCTTCATTTGTTCGCTGAAAAAAACGGCATAGCATGATGGAAAAATGTCCCAAACATAATAAAAACAAAGTTTTATCGTCAAAATGTTTATGATATTATTAAGAAGAAAAACCGAATTATTATTTTTTATTATTATTTTATTATTTTTTAAAAATTATTTTTAGCACGTTCGAAATTTTGGTCAAAAATTTTGTTTTTTTTCTTCACGTCAACGTTAAACCGAATATTTACGATTAGTGACTTAGGCGCTTTTTTTTTCAGGTGAGAGAACACAGTGAATTGGAAATTCTTTCAAAAATCAAATAATTGTCGGATTTTAATGAAACTTTCAGGACTTATTCAGAAATGAATGAAATTATTTTAGAAATTCTTTTATTAGAAAATCAAACTGTATGAAATTTAGGATAGTGTACGATCCACCTAATTTACATAGTGGAGTACCGACCATATAAATATGGTTGGTACCGTGAATACGGAGAAGGAAGAAGAGAACCAATCCAGAGACTCTGCCCGACTGCGACTAAAGTCAACCCATTCTACAGGAACGGTCTTCCCAAGAATATACCAAACTATCTGTAAATATTGTGTCCACGTTCTTGTGTCAATACATTTTAAGTACATTTTGTGTTGTATTATTATTATTCCATGCTTTATTCAAGTTTCAACAGATAGCTTAGTACTTTTTTTTTTTACATATGTTATCCCCCACTTAATTAATGTCATGAAATTTCGAGAAATTAAATTTCAATTTCAAAATTGATTTAATAGTTAAATGCAAGACACCTTGCAGAATGTGAATTATAATTTTTTTCTTAAGCTACTAGCCATTTTCCGAAAATCTGCTCCGAAACGTGCAATAAAAATAAAATCGCCCTCAGCTATGAGAAGGACCTCGACGCTGTTTGAAAAGTGATTGCATGCCTGTAACAAATTCTCATTTATATAGGTCTACATGCCCAGGATAGCGGCCTTCAAGTAGTTCTTGATTCTGTCCAGCCTTTTCTCTCAACGTTACAGCCTAGCTGTTTATTTAAGAAGTTCTGACTATTACCTAATGAAGGAATGGCAACGTTGTTCCTCGTCCAGATCCCACCATCTCTGCCACGCTAGTAATTCGACCTTGGGTAGACTGACGGTAGACCAGTGAGACCGTCTGTATTATCTGTGAACCCAGTATCAGGAAAAATGGTTAAACCAATGACCATAACCCCAGCTGATGTAACAAAAGTGAATCTTTTGCACTTGTTAAACTCACAGAAAAAAATTTCATTCCATTCTTGACATCGTCAGTGATGTATATTCGTAACTGGAGAAGCACAAAAAGACAGGTTTCGAAATAACTTTGTCGACACCTTTTCTGCGTATTTGGAACACGGCGTAGGCGTAGAAGATGTTAACGGAGTGAGACCTCTCCGAACGTTTAGTGGTTCTGTCACGATGCTGAAGAATCGTATCTTGTCCAACCTGGTAATCTTCTTTCGGAATCAAAGAACAATGGCCACTTGAAGCAAAATCACAGCCATTATAATAAATAAGCCAAGGGAATTATTCGATCGGTCGTTTGATCGATCGATCGATAGTAATGTTAGATAGATAGATAGATAGATAGATAGATAGATAGATAGATAGATAGATAGATTACAACAGACAGATATGAAAAGACTGAAAAAGAAAGAAAAAAAAAGAAAGAAAATGAACGGACTGAAACATACACTTAGATAGATATGAAAAGACTAAAATACATAGATATGAACAGACTGAGATAGATAGATCGATAGATAGATAGATAGATAGATAGATAGATAGGAAAAGACTAAAATACATAGATATGAACAGACTGAGATAGATAGATAGATAGATAGATAGATAGATAGATAGATAGATAGGAAAAGACTAAAATACATAGATATGAACAGACTGAGATAGATAGATAGATAGATAGATAGATAGATAGATAGATATGGAAAAGACTAAAATACATAGATATGAACAGACTGAGATAGATAGATAGATAGATAGATAGATATGAAAAGACTAAAATATATAGATATGAACATACTGAGATAGATAGATATGAAAAGACTAAAATACATAGATATGAACAGACTGAGATAGATAGATAGATAGATAGATAGATAGATAGATATGAAAAGACTAAAATACATAGATATGAACAGACTGAGATAGATAGATAGATAGATAGATAGATAGATAGATAGATAGATATGAAAAGACTAAGATATATAGATCTGAACAGACATAGATAGATAGATAGATAGATAGATAGATAGATAGATATAAAAAGACTAAGATATATAGATCTGAACAGACATAGATAGATAGATAGATAGATAGATAGATATAGGAAGAATGCTAAAAACCCTCAGCCTAAGAAGTTATTTAAAATGAATTCTGATATTTTGTTCATTTTTTTCTCCAGGCTAAGTTATGCCAGTGGGAAAATGACTGAAGCCGTGATGCCAGGTCAAGACCGTGAACATTGACAATTCCTTCTTTGGATGTCGTGAAGAATCTCCGGATAAATAACAGATAAGCGTCAGATCAGATTTCAGAGCAATATTTGATGAACGACAGAATGATATACTTATGAAGGCGTCAGATAAAAAAAAAATGTTTACCATGACATAGATCATCTATTATCTGGGTCAACTCGTCATGACGTGTTATCATTTACCCCCATTAACTGTTTAACATCATGCGATATATGATTACTCTCCATTACGTGAGACCGAGAAGGTGCAGTGAATTGTTCTTCTGAGGTTTAGCATCAGTCATGCTGATGGAAGGCAAGAAAGACTCTTTACGATTGTTAATAGAAAGCAGTTTCGTTTTAGGGGCGTTAAAATGAACAATGTACTTCTTGGTGCTATTTACAGCAGATTGTGCGTAATTTTACAGATCAGCTGTCAATTTGATCTTATCGAATCTATCCGACTTGCTATTGTAGATATTTGTGTTATCTGCATCATTAATGAGTCCAGAATTTATGACATCGATGTTTCGCCCTCTCCAAACGTTCGCTGCATGTTGTTGCTGAATACCGCTTTTTTCCCGCTTTTTCGGTTTCGTAAATTCCTATAAGGGCAAAAGAGTTTCTAGTCAACATATTGTCTGTAGGTTCGAGTGATTGTTAAATCTGGATCTTACTCCTAAGGACAACCTCTAAATTATTTTTTAAATAACGAGGAGCGGCGTCATGTTAAAAGGCTAAAGTATTAGGTTGAGTCATTAGTAATTTCTGTTTGGGGGAACGGTTGTAATTGTAGGGATGCAGAAAGCGATTACCTCCTTTTGGTAGACATAATTCACATAGGTCACGTGATGTCTGCTTAATGACGTCACTTCATACAGTGAACACAGCGGCAGTCAAATTTCAGTTTCTTTACAGCAGCTACACCAAAAGTTTGCTTTCTTTAGACAGCACCCAATGGCCCCGGCAGAAAGTAAATCTGCTTCGACGGTAGCTTACAATTTAATACCTCCGTCTCCTTTTGGGAATATATCTTTTCTAGATATAGGAAGAAACTCCAGCTTGTAGTTCTCTAATTGAGAACCCATTACTCACGATTTCATGTTCGGGGAATATGTGCTCGCCTGAGACATAGTAGATGACCCGGCCCGTTTGAAACTAGAGTCCTAAACATGGCTTCTCCAGACACAGGAATATATCCATATAATACGCAAGACCATCTCTTTTTGTTTGTCCTCTGGTTTGGTGCATAGATATATATGATATATGATTCTCCGCGTGGGACACACAGACACACACACACACACACACACACACACATATATATATATATATATATATATATATATATATATATATATATATATATGTATGGTTGTAACCTAGGGAAGGTTACTGTATAGAATAATCAAGCGAAAGTTGGTATTGAACGATAATACTTCGGACACAAACAACACGTATAAGATGCGTCAGCGGCGCGTAGAAGAATTAGTCAACTGCTAGAAGTGAGTCAAGTGAATTCCACAATGAATTTCCAACTGCAGGATATCTATCAACTGTCCCATGCGGTCAGATGTGACACAAGTCCGAGTTTAATGTGGAGTAATCCGAGCCCGTAGGCTCGGCCAAAAATTCCCTATAGAGCCCTTATAAAACGGGGTCAGGTAGCTGTTTGCCGAGACGACACACTGCCCTTCGACATAGCCTTGTCTGGGGATCCTCCCTGTCCGTAGGCAGAGAGTGTGACCAACACAGCTGGAGACGAATCTCCGACTGCAGACCAACATACAGTACTTACTATTGTATTTATGTGAATGGGAACAAACCAATTATCGTCTAATTAACATAGATGCAAGTTTCATCACAAAGTTCATCACCTTGAGACTTGAGAAATTGAACGAAACGTAGAGATTGTAAATGTCGACAAAAACTTTTAGCGATAATTTCAACAATATTAAATATTGTGAAGATTTCAACATGAATTAGCGTGCTGCAAAAAATTCTAGTGAATTATAATTTGCACGATGTTTTAAAATTAGTATCAAATCAGTTTCAAAAGTGTAATTAATCATTTTCTTCGAATTGAATTTTTATTCTAGGATATTTCGTCAAAAATATGAAAACCAGGGGGTCGGGTAAGATTATTACAGACAAGATAGAACATTCTTCGAAGTTATATTCCATCTTTGCAATTTTAAAGCTACTGATGTGTTAAGCACTCTTTGATTGAAGTGTATTAATTTGTACTCCGAACTTTTTTTTTTACTTAATATCTTCCTTGCGTGGCCTTTTTATCGAGCAGACTGGCCGTCTCTTTTTTATTGCAGACACACGACTGAAGCATACTTTAATCTTAATGGCATCTCATAGACGACTGAAAGACAACTTCAATCATCTTTCTCTCTTACTTCCTTAGTATTTTATTTTATTTTATTTTTGTCTCGATAAGGCGATACAGATTCATCAAGGTCACTTAGACACGCAAGCCTGTGGCAGCACTGGGAAGACGAGAGCTTAAAAATGGGTGCAGTATGAGTGCAGGTCATACTGTCCCGTTTTCGCCAATGATCTCCAGTCACAAGCGAGCTGCCAAGTCCTCATCAAGAAGAGACATTTGACGCGGAATGTTTTTCATGTATCGAATCAAAGGATTTCCAGTGAAGTTCAGGCTTTGGTGAAAAAAAAAAAAAAAATTCCTAAAATTTCTTTATATATATATATATATATATATATATATATATATATATATATATATATATATATATATATATATATATCGATTGTAAATATTATAAGCGAATATTAACACAGTCACAGACATACCAAAACACAGGCACGCGTATACATTGTAGACCAAATGTTTAGTGCCACTTCATAGATTTAATAGTAAGCAATTTCCATACCTTCTTCAGTTTCATTAACTCCTACTAAGATTTTGTTAGAGAGAGTATTATGTGAATTCTAAAGTCAAGCTAACACTGATTATCCTTAGCCAATAAGATCGATAATGAAAAAAGTGTTAAAAGTTTAAGAAATCAGTATTCACTCACGTGTTAATTTCATTATTATCGTCATTATTATTGAATATATTATACTGGCCTAGTGTTTTTATATATATATATATATATATATATATATATATATATATATATATGTGTGTGTGTGTGTGTGTGTGTGTGTGTATGTGTGTGTTTCACCATGTGTGATATTGATGGCATCCAGTCCTTTCTCATGAAATCACAATTACGCTGGTCAGGTCATGTGTTACTTATGCAAGACAACAAAATTCCAAAAATGCTCATGTATGGTCAACTTGACAATGGTCATCAAAACGTCGGTCGGCCTTTTCTTAGGTACAGGGACAGGCTGAAGAGTAACCTCTTAGTTGCGAATATAAATCACACTACCTTTGAGAACATCGTAGTTGATCGTAATGAATGGAAGACGACATGGTACAATGGCATCAAGAACAAGGCAGCATCAAACATTGTCAAGCATCGTCAAACTAGGGAAAGAAATAAAATATCTGCTGCTGTTCCAGCCATATACTCCAAGAATCCACACTCTTGCACAATCTGTGAACTTCTTTGCAAATCACTAGCAGGAATGAAATGTCACTTGCGACTCACACACAAGGTTAAAAAAGCAAAGTTGTCGGAACCTCATAAGTCGAAACCGACGGGAGACTCCATCATCATCATATATATAAATGTACGTGTATATATATATATATATATATATATATATATATATATATATATGTATATATGTATTATTCCTATTGTGGGGCTCGCCCCTTGTGCACAAGATGGAATCGTCCAAAGTATACTTATATTACGGAGAGATAGCGTGAGGAAAACGTCGAGACAGGGTGTTCACCCAGAGTTATACGATAGTCCAGAAAGAGAGATAATTACAGTTTCACTTACAGAGACTTGTACACATACTTTTCTACTAACCCGCATTCCTGGACTACTAATCTTCACTTCAAGTGTATATTCTTACGTTTAATACACTTATTTTTCTATTTCAATTACTGGCGTTATTTATTTATTTGTGCAGGATTCCATCCCCGGAATCCACGACAATTCCCCACCCTCACTTTAAGGTCTTTCCTGTTCTTCTTTCTTCCGTTATACCTCTCTCTGGAGCTTTCATACATTTCCTTCTCGCCCTTGTTTCTCACTACCAGCAACTCTCACGGAAATTTTGATTTTTATACCCGGAGTTATATCCGGATATATATATATATATATATATATATATGTGTGGGGGGGGAAACTTGTTTAGACGTCTCATCAGGTGGGGAATTATGGTGTTTTGTAACAGGATAATTCTCCATAATATATAATAATAAGCATAATATGTATAATTTTGTTGTGGAAATGTGCATGTTCTAATCTAACACTGCATAAGATAAATAAATATTTACGATTCTACTTTATGTATTGAGAACTATTTTTAAATTAATATTATGAACGCTATAAACCTACTGTTCGTTCTGTTACACTTTGATATATATATATATATGTATATAATTATTTATTGAAATATACGCTTATGTAGCGTGTTGGAATCATATTTTTAAATAAATAATTATATTTATGCTCTACTTTTGTATCGAGCACTATTTTAAAAAAATAATAACTAAAATACTAAAGAACTTGTTTACCTAACGAGTTCTTTCACACACACACACACATACACACACACACACATATATATATATATATTTAATTTAATGTTATGAACGCTGTAATCCTACTGTTCGTTCTGCTACACTTTGATATATATATATATAAATATATATATATATATATATATATATATATATATATATATCTGTGTGTGTGTGTATATATGTGTGTGTATTTAATGAAATTTGTGGAATAGAAAGGACAACAAAATTATAAATAATATTGGCCATAATATTGGTTATATATATATATATATATATATATATATATATATATATATATATATATATATATATATATTATATATTAGTGGCCTTTTGACTAAATTGAGTAACAAAAGAGAAAGATTTTAATGTTGAAATTTTCAGACACGTCTATATACTTTTTCAACAAGACGAGAAATAAGCAAGGAAATGCCACTCGTTTCTTCCGTGAAATGCTCTATTGAATATATATATATATATATATATATATATATATATATATATATATATATATATACGTACAGTGGGTAGCAAAAGTATTTAACACATTGGTTTTTCTTACATATCTCAAAAAATAACAGATCAATTTCAACGAAACTTATAGGAAATTATTTAAACGAACATTGTCGATCAAAATATAGAAGGAAAATTTAAAACCACTGTTTTGAGAAACATTTATTAACAATAAATAAAATAACCCATATGCATTTTGTTGTCCTTCTTCTAGTCCAGTTGCCATCCAAGGCTATAGAACCCAATCTGTCCTGCTATTTACCCATAGCTGGAGGGAGAAGAAGAGGATTCATACCTTTCCCAAGTATATTAGCACGTAAGTGAATGTAATGGATTCGACTGGAATTCGAACTCGACCCTCCGATTCCTCAATCCAAACCGCTATCCATTACTTCACAGTGCCTCCATATATATAATTGGGACTATTCTGACCAAAACAAGAGAGAGACTCGTGTGAGGGTAAAACACGGGAAAGGGGTAAAATAAATCTTTTTCATGCGACACTACAAAACAATTGATAATGTTGCGCTGAGAGCATTAAATTCCATTGGATTTTAAATTTAGCCCAATTTCAAAACCATTATTCAATATTCTACACTTTTTTCATTTCCAACAAAAAAGTATTGTGCATTTGCATAACAAATAAATAAAAATATACAAAGAAAATATCACGCTACCGTGAATCAATGGCGCTTAGTTTATTTTTTGCCGGTTTTTCTTTATTGGTTATGTCTCTACTTAAATCGCCCGAAGTGATCTATTTTGAGAATCTGTTCATCGATAAAAGCTCTCACCTACAACAGGTGTGTTTGATTCGAAAGGTATCGTTAGTTCCTGAATTTTAGCTTCAATTAATTTTTGAACTTTTAGCCTCACTTGATGTCTGTTCTGCCATCTATTTGTTCAAATTCTTTAAATAGGTTACTTTTTTATCATTTCACCTCAAGCAAGGCACATAAAGCCGCTAGGACGGAATGGGTCAGCGAGTGTTAGTCGTAGTTTTTCTCATATTCTCTAAGGAGAGAGGACAACAAAAGAACAAAAATTAAGAAGACGGAAAGTAACAAATAACAATACATTTAAATTTTTGAAAATCAAAATTGACTGGGCAGCGAGAAGTCGGAAAAGAGTACAACATGTCATAGAAGAAACTCTTAGCATAGAACTTACGGTTACATTTAGCCATTTGAACTATAAAATAATGAGACCGGTTTGCAAATCTAGTAATGAGCTTAAATTTATAAAGTCTTGTTTCGATAGCGGAACATTCAACCAAACAATTATCCTGAAAGTATTAATAGAAAAATATATATAGTATATTACCATGCAGGAATTATTCTTTCAGATATGTTTTATGGTATTATAGAAGTTTTCTAGTTGTTGCTCAACAAATATTTTGAATTATTTACTTGATGTTTCACCTTGTAAATTTCTTAGACAGGTGGAATTAGGAATTAAAAAAAATAGTACATTTTATATATTTTCGACCGCCATAATTCATATTGTTATATCCCAACTTATCGGGATTAACATGAACAAATAAAAATAAAAGACAAGTGTATTTTAACATATAATAAAATAACTTTTATTCATTTACTGCGTGAGAATAGCAAGGATTGTTTGGATTTAAACTATGTGTTCCATGTGCGTATCAGCTTACCACCATGTTGGATTCAGATGTGCCGCGTTCCCACTAGCGGACAAGGGAGATAACATTATTGTATATTGAGTTATCGTTCTTTTCAGGGGGAGGTAAGTAACACCCCTATCACCTCCACTTTTAATCCTTGTCCTCGTATGACTTTTATCGGGAATTTAATTGCAGTGATTATGGCGTACTTCGTCTTCGTTTTGAATTCCTTGGTGCACTTTTTGCTGGAATCCTGTCTTTTTCCCACGACTTTACTTAGGAACTTTGATGAGGCAGTTCAATGGTGTCCAATAAAATGTCCAGAGAGAAAGGGAAGTTT